ACAAAGCATGGGAAACCTACCATATAAATTATCATATGCTCCCCATATTTCAATATGGATCCAAAAGTCAGTGACTACCAACTATACTTTAGTAATAGGTATGCTTTGACATGCAATAGAGGGGAGGAAAAGAGGGACATGCTTTTAGCCACCACATTGACGTGGCAAAGTAGTGGTCCACTGATGCCATACTGATCATTTTTGGCTTATGCGCAATTTGCTGCCCTCTGAATTACTAATTTATTTAGGCTTCTTCTTTATCAAAACTAATGTAAAGTATTTGATTCATCAATAATCGGTGAAGCGTGCTGAGCAAATGCACTTACAAAGGAATAAGATCAGCTAATTATAGCCCAAATATTTATCAAAGTGTTTAAGCACAGAAGAAGTGGATTTTAGGTATACCTGCGTAATTAATAACTTCACGTTTGTGCATGTCAACTCATCGGTACGGCTAATGATCATCGTAGCAAAGCAGGCAATTCAACGCATCCTCCCACCTCTAACGTAAGAAGTCGAGCAAAATCACTAAGTGGTGCCAATCAAGCATCAGGGCTGCGGGCAGGACTGGACTTTCCAAAGAATTAAATGGATTTGTCTGTCTTGACGAACAAAATCAGTGCCTAATTACAGACGGTTTAACATTTTCCTGTTCTCCTCTCCTTACCTCCCTGGGGTATTTAAGCCAGACTAAATATCACACTTACCCCTATATGCCTAAATCAAGGGAAAATGGATTCTTAATTGACATCAGAAAGTCCATTGCAGGAATAGATATATCTCTAAAGCATGGGACATCTAATTGACACAAACAGTTCTCCAGAAGTAACAGCAACAAATGTGCCACTTCAAAAAAAGGTGGTAGCAATCCAATAGAGGTGCTGCTAGCCTGTAGTCACACAAGACGTATTTGATTGCTCTCAAACTTGCGGAAAGCATTGCGAATGTACCACTCCCTCTAACATTTGCCATCATGACTCTCACGGAACTGACATTACGAAAGTAGCTAAGGCGATGCTCCATGGAGAAACAAGACGTTAATGCGATCGACCTAGTTTCCTTTGATAGTTGGATTTGCTGAAATGGAGTAGTCGAAACGGTGCACGGCAATCAAGGGGCTAATTTCGAAAGCCGACTCTTAATTGGCGAATGCAAGGTGTTTAGACGCTTCTCATAAGAAGCTAGTCTGGCTGTGTTTGTCATCTTAGGCTTTAATCGCAATCTTCAGGTTGCGCATCCTATTGGAATGAAACTTTTGGAGTTCAAATCGTCTTTTTGTCCTATATATTGCTTTTTGGATGTTCAGGTAGTGCTTACAACTTGAATATCTCAAAGATCCTGTAAGGTTTAGAAAAGATTCACTGAAGACCGTATAGGACAATCCGTGTCGACGAATTTGGTGTGTACACCAAACTTGAGCGACGATTGTAATGTCTTTTGTCTTTGTGGCTTCCACCTTAGTATCCTTCTGCAAGACTGTGATCAAAGGTTTTAGGGTTTAGTGGAGTCACTGAGAGGTGGAAATTGTTGAAGCTGCTGCAACTGACGCAGATTTGATAAAAATAAAATACGTCAGGAGTGATCTAAGGACACCAGTATCTTGTGCCCAAAAAGTTAACCAGATTCTTTTTGCATGTGTGGTCTAGTTGCTCGTGCAATTCTAAAAGAAATGTTTGAGTCGAGCCTGTGACTACTAGGCGCTTAATCTGCTAAAACCATTTTGTTGCGATAAAACCGATTTCTCAAGAGCGAGTTTTGACCCTCCCTGCCCGATCCGTTTGGCTACCTCGCTCTACGAGCTCATCTCTACATGATGCTATAGGTGTGTGCTAGTATTTCCAAGAGAGTAGAAAAAATGATAAAGTGTTGTCCTACATACTTCTTTGATTTCCTTTTAAAGTTAGACTTTGAAGGAGTGTAAAGGG